CCTACACGAGTTTGCTATATGCCACTAGCCCCAGTTTGGAGGAGTTATGCGCTTAATGGTATACACTGTCTGTAAATCGATTGGTATACCTTATACATTATGCAATAATACTGTGAGATATGTCATTCGCCTATCAGTATCACACAATATGCTACAAAACGAAAGACGGAAATATGACAGTCTCTTTTTCCTGATGCAGTTCTTTAAAACAGCTTAAAACAGCACTCAGTCCTCAACAAAAATTCTTGTTGCGGCGCAAATCTGGGTCATCTTCCACCAAACGACCATGAAGAAGCTGAAGAAGTCGACCATTCTTTTCACTCTTCTGCTTGGAGCATTGGTTGCATCTCCTTTTTCTACTGCTGGTTTGCTCCCTAACGCTGCAACTGAGGCGGATCCTCGTTGGTTGGGTCTTGCAAATTTGTCTTCAGCAACTTTACCGGATTATATTCGCCAATTTGGTCGAGGTCAATCATCTCTGCCAAATTCACAATCTGTGGTTGGATTCTGGAAACTGTGACAAAGTCCTGCTAATCACGCACGATCCCTGGCTATATGTCAAACCAAATACCTATTCGCCGTGGCCCGAGTGAATTCCTCTTATGAAGCATCAAAATATCTATAGCTTTTTGATACTACAAACCTGTCAGAACGTCTGAAGTGACAGCTGCTTGCTTCCTGCGGACTGTCCCATTGACTGTCTGCATAATCCGCCGGACATTCAAGGCCCTGCACCTCAGTCTCATCCATTCGATCACTGGCTGCAACAATAATATCGTACTTGATGACATATAACTGCAGCGCATGTTGACGGGAAGGTCTTCAGTGTTAACAGAAGATAAAAGTAGTTATGGAGATTTTGTTTCAAACAATACTTCTCGACGAAGGGGAAAAGCGACGTAATCCAATTTTGTAACACAGAGATCATCCCCTGTTTCCAGTTAAATCACACGCCGCTGGGAGATGAACCTTAAAACATTCAGGCCGTCGGATTCTCTGGAGGACGCAACAAGAGGGATTTCAACTGGATATCTCCATCTGCATTGCCGCTGAGGAGAAGTAAAATGATAACATCATAGCGATGATAGCAAAGATGATTTTCTCCTGCGTCGGAGTATGAGTGTGAGGTGCCAGTTCCTTCTAATATAAGTGATGTCATCTCATCAAATAATCTGTTGTACCACTACTGCAGGAACTGATTCCTTAATCCACTCAAAATGAGTTATATCAGGCAGAAAGCTCATTTGTTCCCTCATGGTTAACGCATAATGGCTTGAGAGCGAAACGACGAAAATGCACTACTTATCTGATCTGATGGATGAATGAACTGATAAGAGTGCAACTCGTTATCAACAAAAACGGAGCCAATCTTCAAGCGAATGTCGATTCATAGAAGAGGCCCATGTGCCAAAAGAGGACAAATCTACTCGAGAAAGGTGCGTTCAATCTCTCGTTCTGTTCTTATAAAGCCCACTCTGTCACATATCTTCATCGTCTCCTTCATCTTGCTTGACCGCTTCTCCTTTCTGGTCGCGGAGGCAGACGCGTCAGACAGAGCTACAAACGTTTCCGATCCGGCGTCAGAGTCTAAGCTTCGGCAGAAGACAACTGGAGTCTGGAATAGACTCCTTCCATTTATTTGCACCAGGTTAATCTTGGCCGTCTCCTGGGCCTTATGCCTTTCGGTTTCGCAAGAAACAGTTGCTTAGCCTTCCTTTCTGGAGGCCATTCGTAACACGTGCCCAAACCATCGTAGCTCTCTATTACACATCTCCATCTACATTTTTGGACACCTTTCTACATCAATTTTTGCCTAGGCTTCTGCGCAGTTTCGCACTGTTTGCTGCTGACAATATAAATAATGACAAATAAAGGAAAACTAAAACAAATAAATCAAAAACTAAAATATTCGGAATGACTTAAATAGGAGAATATCTCTACTTCGCAGTACTTCAAATTGTACTGTCTCAGTCAAGAAATCAAATTGTAGTGCTGTGGAGCTGCTCGCATATTTTCGGTATGGCAGCCAAGGTTTAAAGAACTAAGAAATACTAAGAAACAACCTGCGCTAGATTTTCGTCACACAGGCTTATAGCGTCAAACAGTAAAACATGATGGTAAAATTCTACAGCACAAACGATTCATTTTGTTACCAACTGAGTGAACAAAACAAAAACTACAACACTGTAGCGCAACAACCGGGTGCTCCTAATAACTTAATCTTGAGTGGTGTCAATTGATCGACATACGTTTGACTACTGCAGCACCCAACTTTGCCATTAGTCAAAGGGTGAGGAGTATTCGTTGTAAATAATACCTCAGGCTTTCGATTCTGGGCCCATAGTCATAAAGATAAGTTTGAACGATTCATGGTTCAGGGCAGCAACCACTGTATATCGTAAAACTCTTCACTGCCGACGGGTTTCGCTACATAGGCCATAGCATCGTCAGGATTAGGACTAGAAGTACAAATGAATGCTTGAAGGCAGGTGTCCACAAGCGAAAAATACGTTACAACCCAAAATATTATTACAACTCCAGCCTTCACTAATAACCAGAGTATTCGTTGCATGCACGACGATTCTGTACCAGTCAGTAATGGGACTTTTGCACTGTTAGCCTTAGCCGGCATTGTCTCGGCAATTACCGAAGCAATCCCATCGATGAAGCTGTGTATCTCTGAAATGGTGTGGAATGCAATACCTTGGCATTCAACCTGACAGCTGCGAATTGCGAACAGATGTTTCTGAATTCTCGTGTGAAGCAATCTATTACTCTGCCTATCTGCTTATTACCCATACCTTACCTACATACATAACTCTGTCTTACCTCAGAAACTTTATCGCCGTTTTACAGCTTGCCGTTTAAACTACCTGCCGTACTCAAGCTGGGTTGCTAGAAAAATCTCCCCGAACAGGATCATTCGCAGTATCATCCAAATTCTGTAGTAGACCGTAAATCTCACGTCTGTTGTTTCTTGACTGTCTTCGAAACATTACTACAACACTTAACAATTACTTAGGGATGTTGGACAAAAAACGTGTATAACTCGAGACGAAAATTATAGGCTGTTTCAAATGGTTTATTTTATTTCATGTCACGGTGCAGCTGTTCATTCTTTAACATTCTTTAACAATACTGATTTGCAGCACAGTTTTCATTTTACTGCAGCTATTAATTTATTCATTTTATTTATTTGCTGATGACGTTACCAGTGTCGACTAATAAACAGAACTTTGCAATCGCTGTTTCGCATTTGAGTACTCTAATCACGTACGAAGAAAACATTCACAATTTAAAACATTACTTGAATTTTCTATAAGAGTATATCGCTGTTTATCAAAACGGTCTTACTCCGTATGTATATGTACACTTTGAATAACGTTTTGGATCGCACTGGGCCAACCTTCTTTCAAATATTCATCTTACGTCCTCCAAAGATGGACCCTGTGTGCCTTGAAATGGCAAGAGATTTGTATGCAAGGAACATATAAAATATAAATTGTTTTAAGACTACTGTAACGACGAAAATGTTCAACTGATAAATCATTTGGGTGCGATATTAAAACATTCAAAAAGCAGCATGCAATTCAAGCTCAATCCAACAAACATACGTTTGGCAGAGTGACGATGTGTTAATAGATGACCATCTGATAAAACTGGCAAAGAACAAGAGATAAAAGAGGTACTTCAGCCAGGCGCAACTCAGTGAAGAAATGAGGACGAAATATTCGAAGTATCTGGAAAGAATGACAACTGAAGAAGCAGAAGGGGGAGATAAAGCAGGAGAAAGAAGATGGGGTGGAATAGTGAGAAATCGTTCGGATTTGTGGTTATAAGTTTGGGTTCCAGTCCCACTGCAGCGTGGGAACGGAACTTTCTGCTAACTGCTAACGTCCTTAGGCAAGAAATTCTTGTCACTGCGCCTCGGAGGTGAACTGTATTTTGTCGGCTTGTTGATTTTTTGTGTATGCCGAAAAACTCAGTTCTTTAGCGATTGTTTTCAAGCAGTAAAGCTGGAAAACGTTTGAAACGTAGTGACCTACGAACAGTACGGACACACGAAAGTGCTAAGTATTTCGGCATGGTCAGAGCATGTGAGACCCACGGGCAAGACAACTTACGCGCCGGTATTATTATCAACCACTAGTATCTGCATAATCAACGAACTGTAACTCGCAAATAACAACAAACAGATCGAAGAAGATTAACCGATATATGAAGAGATCGAAATCGACTGATTGCCCCTCAGCAACAGTAATAAACATGAGTACCGAAGAAGAACACTCACGATTTCGATTATCTTCAGCCATCCGGGCACCGACTTCACATAGTTGATGTTGAAGTAGACGGCGGTGACCGAAGGCGAGCCGACTGTGGTGGTGGTCGTCGTGTGCGTCTGAGGGAACGTATCCGTCATGGCGGTTCCGCAGCAGATGCGCAGCAGGACGTCGTCGATCGACAAGAGTACGTACGACTGAAAGCAGAGCCGGTGCTAGTTTTTCACTAGTGCCAACAAAGGATGGTGAACGCGAAACGGCGACAAAATACGACGCGACATGGACAAGGAGGCCGTCGGACAATGACCGTTGGCCAGCAACGGATGGATGTGACCTTGAGAGTAATAGGCGACTACCGCAGCGGCCGACCGAACAGAAAACGATGAACCATTTCGCAGTATGAGTGTAACAAACAGCATGACCATAGCACCGTTCCTCGTTCGTTCCTCACAGCAAAGGGTGCCTCAACTTTACTACCTTCCCTTGACTCCCTCAAACAGTATTCAAATATACGTACAGACGCCGCCTGATCACCTATCAAGACTGCCATTTGTAATTGCACTGACGCGTTTCGTCGAACGTTCGTTCGTTCCTAAACTCTGACCAAACAGGTTCTATCAATGGAGAGTAGCGAAAGTCACCCGCCGGCGAGGGGGTGTGACTGACTGACTGACTGACTGACGGACGAACAGACCAGTCGACGCAACTGTGTCGTAAACAAGCGCATACCGACCTATCGGACAAAACTGACCGTTGGTCATCATTCTGTCCAATGATTGTGTACGCATCTGCTTCGGTCTTCTCGTCAGTGTTTGTGCCCGAAAGAAATTATTGACTCACCAGCCCCGAGGAGATCCAATTTCTAAACGAATGGCTAGGGGAACTGTCTACTGGCTGCCCGGGGGCGACAACAAACCGAGACGTGTTTAACCACTGTGGCAGTTCGTTCATCTCCGCATAACCATTTCTCCGGCTGGCCGATGGATCCATCGATCGACGACAACTCGTCGCCACTGGCCATCTTTCTCTGCTTCCTCTCCATCACCGGGACGCTCAACGACCATTCAACCACCAGGTAAGTACCAACGTTTCATCAACAGCAACGCTCGAGGAAGAACAGCGCGCCACGCGCGGTAGGCACTTCCGCGCTCCACCGCCGAAGCGCTTGCCTCACCTGAAAGTCAACATCGGCGCAGACACCGACGGACGACGGCGCACGCGAGTTGTTGATGACGAACGATTTACAGTTGCTCTATGCTCCGCTTTTTCGACCTTAATTCTATGTTAAACTTTATTTTTTCGACGTTGCTTTAGCCTGTTGTACGACAACTTATGCAGCAGTCATTAAATGGTGCATTTCCATCTCTAAAAACTGCGCCGAATTTCGTAAGTCGTACTTGAACATCGCTTTTTCTTACAGTTTCTTATGATGTCTGAAATATACAGATATCTTGCCAAAGAAACCTTTATTTTTGCTTTCGAATTATTTCATCGTATGAGCAATTACTTTTTATTACTTTTATTACTTTTTCATAGAAAATAAAAATGTAAGCAATAAAACTGCAGCGGCAATCAATAAGCGACGGGTTTTTTCGGTCGCTAAGAGAACAAAGAATCAGTAAATATGAAAAAGCGCCGGAGTTGAATATGTTCGGAAGTGCAGAGGTTGAGTAGAGTATTTTATGCAAATGACAGATCTCATTCATTTATTTTTATAGTTAAAGGCATACATGTCACCGAATGGTAGATCGACTTAGATATGATTATTGACTGAAAGAAAACTTTGAGTTTTATAACCGCGCATCCAAGCGACAGACACGCTGATGCTCTGAGAACAAGCAGATTTTATTCGTCATTAAGGAAAAAGATCGAAAAAGGAATAGATGATTTATTAAACATCAATATTGTACAACTTACGGCTGTTCACCGCTCTATAGAGACATTTTCATTATCGAGACTAATGGGAATGTGGAAAAGAAATTGCCCCTAATATATTATCCGCTATCGCCAGTCTCAAAGCCAATGAGAAAGGAGGTTGGTTGGAGATCGTGGCGAAGTCATCCGTAGACTTAGCCAGCAGCCGCTCATGGCACTGACTGACGCTGTAGAACGCTATGCAGGACCGGTCATCGCAATAGTTACCATTGTCCACTAAGGCATACTGCGAAAAATCGGCGATGAGAACTTCTTTCCTGCCTTGTTGATGATGGGAGCATACAGCATGGCGGAGCTCGCCGAAGATGGATATGAGATGGGAAATCACCCGTTAGCAAAGTAGTCGCTACCCGTTTTTTTGCGGGAGTAGTACACAACGCGATGCCATTATTGCATATTAGATAAAATTCCATGTAAAGGCTTCTGACAGTGGCGGCTTATAGTCGAAAATTGGGGCATACCCTCATTCTGCGGGAAAGATCAGGTGCTAGATGAGAAGGTCGCAAGACACCAACTGGAAATTGTTGGACTCTCACCAAACGAATCGCTAAATCTCTGGAATTTTGAACCTTTGAAGGTATTCTACGCAGATGTCGACTTAGCGACACATGCTCAACTCAGTAACTGTATTATGGTAGAACGCAACTTGATTAACAGATTCATTGACTGGAAGCCTGTTAGCGGAAGAATGATAATTCTCTGACTGAAGCTGCAGCGTACTAAAACACTGACCTCGTTACAGGTCTGTGCATCAAACTTGAAGAGAGAATATCAGCCCTTCCGAGAGGAAGTCGAAGGTGCTCTATGCAATATACCGATTAGGTGATCAATTTTTGTAACGGGCAATAGCAGTGCATAAGTCGGAGTAAACAATGAACAGTGGCAAGACGTAGTTGGAAAAAACGGTCCTACCGACTTACACAGTGATTGCCGAAGTTGGTGCGGTTTTGTGCAAAACAACGCGTTGTTTATTATGATGATCTTTATCGAGCAGTGAAGCATGCGTCATTATATCTGGTGTAGGAAAGCTTTTGCGGAGAATGATGCGATCGATTTGATAATGGCTTCATCTGACTAGCGGCGCTAATTAGTGGATGTTGGCACTAAGACAAGCGCATGGCTGTCAACCGATCATCACTGTTTTTCTCAACGTCCCATATTAAGTACGTAATTTGGCATACTCTGGCGCATCAACATCGAATGATTCCTATTCGGTAGTATATAAGTAATACCAGATTCTGGAATATCGTTCGTGACGAGCGCAATATGTCTCTAACGGACAAAATGATGCGAGATCCATTTGGCACTGCAAATGATAAAAAAATCCCATATATCCATGACCTGCCTAAATGATTCTCTGGGCGTGAGGTGATGCAATACATCGTGAAACCTGGTCTCGAAGGAGTGATTAGTTGTCTGATATATTTCAACGTACGAACAGCTAGTGATAAGTCAGCGGTTCCACTATGAATTCAACTGAACCTCCTGGCCTTTCCGGACTGCAGCTGTCCATAGATCATATACCAGAATCAAGAGTATAATAGTAGCTGCGCCTTCCATCACTGTTACCATGTCGTCGACATTTATCGAACGGTTTGGCAACACTCGTTGTATAGTTTCGTCGTTGCTGGCCCTATGCTTCGACTTATATCGGTATGCCAGCTTTCGTCGTTAACCATGACAACCTAAGCAGATATTGGAAGCAGTAGACTTT